TGGTGGACGTTCAGCCGTCCTGGTGGACGTTCAGCTGTCCTGTTGGATGTTCAGCCGTCCTGATGGACGTTCAGCCGTCCTGGTGGACGTTCAGCCATCCTGGTGGATGTTCAGCCATCCTGGTGGACTCTCAGCTGTCCTGGTGGATGTTCAGCCGTGGTGCGCGTGGTCCGGGTGCTGTTCCGGCTCGCGGGCGGTGCACGTAGCACCGGTACCGGTACCGGTGGCGTGCAGACCGTTCCTGAGCACGCTGTGAAGCTGCTTTGCGGTGCCCTGGCTTTTCTCTGCCTGCAGTCTTTTCCCCAGACCAGAGTTATTTCGAAGAGCTCTGTTCCCTGCTGTGCTAACGGCAGCTAAGCGCTGGAGAGCTCCTAGTGATCAGATTTGCTCCTTCCAGGTGTCTGGGTTTCAGACACGAGCGTATTCCCCTTCCGTGTGTGCACGTGTGTGTAAGTGAGACTGCACGTGGGGCAGACATCCAGATTTCTATGATTCCCCACTTTCACACTTAACACTTGTAAAATATGAAATGTATTTTCCTGTTTCTTCTTTCGCTATGAACATCCCTGTTTTCTTCCTATTTCTTTCCACTTACTGCAATAAAATACGGGATCTGCTGCTCTTACGGAGTGTTTTCTGCCATTTCTGTGGCATTTCATTGACATGAGAGGAGTTACTGTCCTCAAGATAACCTGACAGAGGTAGCAGGGCCTTGTACGCATTGCCAGTTTGACATGGATGTCACCTGTGCAATGTAAACCAGCGTATAACAACCTAGCCATGAGTTAATGTCTTGTTTTTAAGTGTATTTGATATTACCTAAGCGTGATTTATCAATTGAAATAGGTGCGTAGTCTGGACTGGAGATGACAGAGTCTTCTTCTTCAACCCTACAATGCAGCTGTCCGTGTGGGAGAAACCAATGGACCTAAAGGACCGTGGTGACATCAACAGGATCATTGAAGACCCACCTCATAAGCGCAAACTGGAAACCTCAGCAAGTAACTCATGCTGTGATTATTTGCATTTATTCAAACTTGAATGGTAAATGAAGGTTGATTGCTAAGTGCATTCAGTGAATATTTGATAACCAATTAGAATGGTTTTCATTATGTAAGTACTGTGTTAAAATTGATGCTTACTACTAAATATTTGTTTTACTGAAGCGCTAAACTTGGGAATTGAGGACTTTTGTTATTTCCAATGAAGAAATAGATGGCTTCTTATTTAGGATGTATAAAATACATCTTGGAAGCCACTGCCTTTATGTCTTATTACGCTTACATTTCCAAGATGTACATTAGGAAGGCATTAGCCTCATGTTCTTCATCCAAAGAACTATTGTGAAAAAGGGAGCTGCGCTGTATTCATGACTGCTCAGCCAAATTGTAGAGGGAGAACAAATTCCCAGTAGCAGATCTGCAAGGAGCGCCGAGAGGTTTGCTGGGGACGTGGCGGCTCGGTGGGGACGAGGCTCTGCCAAGTCCTTCCTTCCGAACGGGAGGTGCCGGTGTCCGCGCTCCGAGCGCTGCCGCCTGCTCCTCGGCAGGCAGGCCGCTTCCCGGCGGAGTTTTCCAGCCTCATTCCTCCTTCCCCTCCTTCCTCAGCTCCGGGGCTGCCCGACCAGGGCCACCACGCATCCCAGCCTCTGCCGGACGTTGGAAATGGTTGCCTGGCTGTGCCAGGGAATCCTTCCTTCCCGCACACACTGTGTGTTGCTGAGTGCTGGTTTCCCCTCCAGCTGCCCCTGTGCTCTAGTGGCAGGCCGAGGAATACGGCGGGGAAGGAAGCGTGCCCGTGGCCGTTGTTGCAGGCGTTTGCAGCCGCGCTGGGCGAGCTCCCCGCGCCCCACAGGCCGGCAGCATTCACCCTGTCCCGACAAGTTTAAGAGCAAAGGCTGCAGAGACTCTTCTATTTGGGTATTTCTTAGCAACCGATGCTATTATTATGCTTTTCAATATAAATTTATATTGCGAGAGGCTGGAAACAAAATCATATGGCTTTTTTTTTTTTTATGGCTTGAGCAAGTTTTGATAAATATCTGGTAATTCCAGAGTGTATCTGCTGAAGTTCATCCTTCAGGAGAAAAATAGAGCATAAGTTTTGTGTTGCAGGGTATATTGAAAGATGGATTAATTACTGGCTGGCGGGAGCATGATAACAAAGATAAGCTCGAGGGTCATTATTAATAGTCTGTCATTAAATAATGGGAAGACTCTAAAGCCATTGCTGATATGTGTCATTTCCAAATTTTAATTTTTGCTTTGTGTTTCAGCCCTTACATCATGTATATGTACTGTTAAGACTTGATTGATGCACCAGGGTCTTTATGACCATGGTTTCCGTTGTTGCTAATAGTCTTCATCTTCTTTAATATAATTGGAACTTGTGGTTGCTCAGTATTTGAGAAAAGCAGATTATAATTTGTGTATATTAGCTGGCGAGGTCAAAGGAATTATTTGTTACCCTTGCTCTTACATTGTAGTCTTGGGTAAATAAATAAAAGAAATGAGCTGTGTGTTGCAACAATGGTTGCCAAATTTATTTAGTTTGGCGGCTGCTGTAGAGTTTTAATTAGAATTTTTAATCGAGGGCACAAAAAACGTGAGTGAGCCTAATAATTCATGGAGTGTTACCGTTTATCTGTGCATCACTCCGCTGAAAGAGCAAGTGCATTTATAATCTAGGCATAAATGAAAAATTATTCATTTATCAACTCTTTTACCTCCACAAAGTGCTAGCTCTTCAGAGATTTGTGGAGGTGTCACCAGTCTTTCCTAAAGGGTTGGCACAGGGCTGGTTTTTGTGACTGTAAGGGAGATTTGCATAGTTTGATCATCCTTTTCAGCAAGTTAGAGCTTTCTGGAAGGATGGTGCAACCCATTGTGATCGCAGGTGTGTTTTTGCTGTCATTCCTCCTCTCTGTTTCTGTGGAATCATATCCTGTCCGTAATACCCTTGTCTCAAAGTTCCTTTGAAATTTTTCATATTGCAAGGGATAAAGGCATTTCCCTCGCCCGCTCTCAGCTGCTGTGGTACTCGGGCATGTGCCCCGTGGGGTTGTACAGCCCAGGCCATCAAGCCGTGCAGCTCATTAGACACCTGGACACCTGCTTAGGGCAGGGGAAAATAATCAGGGCGTGAGGACGCCCGAGACACCCAAAACTCACGGACCGGGAAGCCGTTCCCGCTAAGGGACAGTGGCAAGTGGGAGAATTGGATGTGAACCCCCCTGTAATATCAAGAAATTTGTCTCTGTTTGAAATTTTCTTTTTTTCTTTCTCTCCTTTTCCTTCTTTTTCTGAGAAAAAGTTCCCGTTACTCCCAGCTGAATAAAGAAAATTGCCATTTTAAATATGCAAAGCTACATACTGATTCATGTTTGATCCTGTTCCATGCTGAAAGTTCTGGTTTTGTCCACTCTGTTCCCACAGATACTTTGAATTTTTTAGATTTGAGAAAAAAGCATAAATAAAATAGGATATTAGCTAATGGTTAGTAACCATATAAATAAGATAGGTGCACTCCTAGTCTTAGGTGAGCTCTGTGTGTGCTGAGCTTCCTTCCAAAATTATGAACCAGATTTGTGGATTTTGCCAGTGGATTGACAATGCTTTAAGGCTCCTGCTAAAACGTGGTCCTTTCCTTTTGTTTGGGAAAGTGAACTGGAAATCGCTACCGGCCTGGAATTAGTTGAATGATTTAATTAATTAGAATTAAGCTTGGCAGACAGTGAGCCTGGGCTGGCACTCGGCTCCGTGATTTCATGGCAAGATTACTGTCAAGTAATATTCTTCCTCCAGCTTTAAATCACTTACCAGATTTTGTGCTCGGCTGCCTCGCCTCCCTTTGCCCATCAGTATATGATCTTCACGGGCCCCGTGCTGCAGGACGGGTCAGCGGTTTGCCAAGTGGGAGCAGGGACATCATTTGCCGTGTTTTACTAAGTTTTCCATGGCATGGAATCCTCCGCGATGGTGCTGGGGTGATGTTGTCCCTCCCGAGGCAGAATTCTCCCCGCGGTCGCTCGCAGCAGTGAAGCAAGAGGGGTTTCGCATCCCCCTGCCAGCGGGGTGCCCTGTGCCAGGAGCAGGGCGTCACACAGGTCGCCTATCAGCAGAGGGAGTAAATACGGAAATGAGAGGAGATTTGGTGGGAATAACGCTGTGCTTGCCCGCTCGTTATTGCACCTACAGTCCTCTAGATTCATCTGGGCTTGGCAGGAAGGATTGTTGTACTGAATAGAGACAAAGAGTGACATTTGCTGGAAGTGCACTAATATATACAAGTAATTTTCCAAAAATAGGGAAGCAAAATGAGATAGGAACAATATTCTGTCCCATTCAAAATAAACAGCCAGGCTGTTTAGCTTCAGTATTACAAAAATTGGACCCACACAAATAAGAACTTGATATTAGTTTATAAGCTTAAAAATAATTACCATTCCTTATTTGTATTTTTTTTTCAAGTAAATCCCTTGGAGGTGAAATCATAAACCAGCTGAAGTCTAGGGAGCTGGGTTGACTTCTGTGAAATCAGATTTTACCACGTCGAGTTATTCCAAGCTGCTCACCCACCCATCTTCATCTCTACAACCTAGGTTTAATTTTATATTTATTTTTGCCTTTTTTTAAAAAAAATCTTTTCATAGTTATTATATGGCAAGACCAGTCTTTATTACCAGTCCAAGCTTTAGTCTCCGATATTCCGAAGCCAATCAAACCAGGCTGTCTTTGACTTTGCCCAGCTGATGTCTGATCCTATTGGAAAGTCCGCAGCACAGTCACGCAGTGGCTGGACCTGAGCTCCAGCAGACTGTCTGCCTGGATGGTGCTCAAATCTCTAGTTTGCATACTCGAAAAAAGTATGAGCATTTTGAGATTCCAGAAATAAATCCCTGTTCTGTTTGCTTGACGTTTATTCTGAATAACCACACCACTTCAAAGTCCGATTTGGAAGAGTATCCAGGCAAAAGTAGGAGTGGTGGCTCTTGCTTGGCTCTTCTGGAGCCCTGGGAATGTGGAGGTTCTTCAGATCCCGTAGTCGTTCCGTACTCTTGCTCTGCGTGCACCTATGTAAGAAGGTCACATAGGAAAGAAGTTCTCATGCGAGTTCAGAATGGGAACGGTGGGTTTGGTTGCTTTCACTCAAATCTTGATTTCTGTGGATCTGATGAAATATATATTGTTTTTCCAGCACACAATTGAAAAGGAGGTGACAAACATCAGGAAGTGAAATGAATTTGGGGAATTTTTATAATCATATTAATTTTATTTGTTTTCTTTTAGCAGATAGAAGCATTAGTTCATGCCCAGGGGATGAAAATGATGATCTCAGCATCAAAACTAAGAGAAATAAGTAAGTTCTAAAGTTTACTTATCCATATGTAATGTTGGGGAGCTAAATTCATCTACAAATAAGTGCAAAGAGAAAAAAAATATTTTCTTTTGTATGGATAAATTATGAGAGCTGCTCTTAAGGTATCCATTTATTCATTGAGCTCCATGATTCTCTAAAATACGTATCACCATCATTCATTTTTTATCATTTTTATCATTCACTTATCATTCATTTTTATACCTCAGTGCATTTCACTGAGTATTTGAGAATTTATCCCAGCAATGCCCTGACAGTACTAAATGGAAAAGAAACAATTCTCCAGAGAAATTCAGGTGTTCCTGGGATTTCTTCACAGCATCGCAGCAGAGCTGGGGTGGATGGGGACCCCTGGAGAGGGGCTGGCTCAAGGGGCTCCAGGACCACGGCTGGTCGCTTTGAGTCTCTGCAAGGACAGAGGCTCCACAGCCTCCCTCACAATCCGCCCCCGTGCCCGGCCACCCTCTGAAGTTTTATGTTTAGATGGAATTTCCTGTATTTTTTTAAATGTATTTTTAAAAATTAAAATCTATATTTTGTTTTAAAAGCAGCAGTGCATATTGTGATGAGCAGAATGGCAGCATGGCTGTCCTAGCTGCTTCGAGATCTGGAGGCTTCCAAAATGGGGATAGCAGAAGCCTCAGAGCAGGCTCTGTGTGCGGGTCCTCTTGGCCACGAAGTCAGAGCTGCTCTTGTATTTTGGCTACAGATTATTGTATTATTTGACTAAACAATATATTGTTTTAATTGTAATTCTTGGTATGAGAAAAAAAGAAAGTCTGTCTGATTTGCAGCCTCGTTTTCAATTATCTGTACTAGAGAAGATCCTTTCTGATGATTAAATGATGGAATAGCATGCTATATTTCCCTGCTTTTCAGCTTGAAAAGGCTTTTTGTGCACATGGAAAATTGGATTGGGTGTTTAATGGATCATATAACAGAATAAAAATTGCTAATGCAATAAAAAGCCACTATCATTCTGTGAAGAATAACAATTTGATATCCTTCAAATCACTAATAATATAATTCGAGATAAATTTAAGAGTAATGTAATTATTCACAAATGGAAGCTAATATGTGAGGATTCATATTGCATACTGATATAATTAACTTTCTCAGAAGGAAATTTTGACTTTTGTATCATAGAACACAATGCAAGTAGAAAAGTGTTTCTATGTCAAATTCAAAGCAAAGTTTTATTTAATATTAGTGAAAATTGCATTGCTAAAAGTGTAATTGTTTCTTGTGGGATGCTAGATTCTAAGTGCTGTCCTGCTCTGCACATTGGCATCATTTGCACAGCCTTGGCTTTAATGTTTTGTTTAACTTAAGCAAAGCTTGAATCTATTCGTTGCTCAAAGTATTAAGAAGCCATGAGTGTGGGGGGACAAATGGGCATTTTGAATTCCAGATCTGAGTTTCCCGGCTTCTTTGAAGTCTGGAAGCTCTGGGGCACAAAACAGAACAAACAAAAGAAAAAAAAAAATAACCAGAGGAGGTTCTGCAGTGACTCCTTAAGATCTTCCCTCCTTGACAAACGGGATAGAAACCCATCGCATTGCCGTGGCCTGGGAAGTGCTGGCTTGACGCTGGCGCTTCCCTGCTGAGCCGGGCCCTCGGATCGCCGGGACAGCGGCACTTCCAGAGGCCGCGGGAAGCAGCTGCAGGGTGGGCCAGGGCATCGCCCGCATCCCGCTTCCCGCCGCGCATTCCGCTCCTGACCCGGCCCTGTCTTTCCCCGCTAAAGAACAGAAGATTCGCCGCTGGGCGAGCCGGGCAGGCGTGCCGCGGAGGAGAAGAGCAGGAAGGCTCCCGCCCGTGAGGAGCTGCTCCCGCGGGAAGAGCGCGTCACGCATTTCCGGGACATGCTTCTGGAGAGAGGGGTAAGCGCGGAGCGTGAGCCGCGAGCCGCGGCTCCACGTGCTGGCGGCGCCTCGCACAGCAGCTCCCGGCTGCGAGGCTGCACCGCGGGGCCGCGCGGCGGCTGGCCGCCTCTGCGCGGGGAGCTTTCGCCTTCCCTTGCTGGAATTTTCAGTCTGGTGAATATCGTCTTGTTACCGGTGTGTGGATAGAGGTTCATGATGTGGCTTACTCTGCAATTTAATGCAACTGAGAAAAAAAACAATTTTTTTTTGGAGTATTCTTACACTGGCAATGTTGTAATGGAAGGGAGGTTTATTTGAGAATATTGGCTTCTAAACAGCTTATGCACAAAAAATGTTATTTGGCACTGTCATATAATTACCTATTTTAAAAATATTTTCTTAACTTCATGTCCAAAAATGTTAGGTTTACATAATTATTTAGGTATCTTTTGATGCCATTCAGTAACATACGGCCATGCAGAACACTACACACTTTCAAAAGGTAACTTTAAATAAAGTCATGCCCACATATAACTGATAGTGGTCGTTCTTGGAGCTCAGAGCAGAGGCTTGGTGCCAGGAGAAGGAATTTGTCGTGCACGACCCCAGGGGTGCCAGGGGAGCCCCAGAAACGTTCATTACACACCGGACCAGGAAGGACACTCCTTGTGTGCCAGCGCCGAGGCAGCACGAGGCTGGGAAATGGTCCTTGCAAGCTCTTCGCTCCTGTGCATGTCCTGGTCATCCTCGCCCCGGGGAGAGCGCTCGGTGGTGCAGCTGGTGCAGGAGGTGGGTGGCAGGAGGGGGCCCCGCGCGGGGCTGCACCCCGGCTGGTCGCGGAGCCAGGGCCCCTCGGGGCTGTTCCCAGCGCGGGCGCCGCCGCGGCCCCCATCCGTCCTTCGCGCTGCGGGGATGGTGCCAGGTATTCAGGCATTTTATGTGATCTCATCAAGGTTATGAGCAGATAGATGAAGCATAAATTCAATTTATAAATACAACATGTCAATGCTATGAGCCTCATAACCAGCAGTGAATTACAGATCCCAGTAAGAGCATCCGGGGTCGGATTCTGTGGAGCACTGCACTTCACTTCTGTGTTCTCCAATAGCGGTTACAAACCTGTGTGGAAACAGCCTTGTAAAGATCGCCACCAATACAGGGAATTCTGCATGCACTTATTTATAGACATCAAACCAGCCCTGCAGAATTCCATCCCACCCTGTCCCTGCGCTTTCCAGAGAACCCATGATTTTGTGCTGAGACGTCATGAAATTAATACACAGAACGCATTTGGGTGCTAATCCTGCGCATGTAAATGAGTTTGTAATGGACTAGTGTGTGCAGATGTCTTGCCAACACTCTCAAAACATATTTTCCATATAAATTATGTAATTTCCATTACAAAAATCAAGGTGGCTGTTGTTAGGCAGTAAAACCGATAATGTTTACCATTAGTAATTAGTAGACTTAAAAGGTGTATAATGAGTGAGTTGGATTGCAGAAGCTTAACTGTATCAGGGCTAGAACCGTTCTATTAATACATTTTGTTATTTGTGCTCAAAAAAAAATCTCATATATGAGGACTGTTTGAAGGCTTCTGTTTGTATATTTGAAGTCATGGGAAGAAAAGTCAAAATTTAAAAGTATAAAGGATATAAAGTGTAAGTTTCAGCCTCGTTTGTGAAAATAAGAAATTCAGTGGATTTCCTCTTTGCTTTGCTATTGTTTAAAGGCACGGAGGTGAGAAGCTCCTTATGGCTTTGGCCCAGAACGTTTGCTTGACGCCGGGGCGGGCTGATGGCCCAGGTGGCCCTCATGCTGTGAAATGCAGCGAGGCCGGGAGAGCTGTTTTAGCCTCACTACTGAAATGAGGGTCTCCTGCTATTTTCTCATAATGCTGTTTTTCAAGAGGGCCTCTGAAAGCATCACCGAGTGTGTTAACTAGATAAAGTTCTTCCACTTTGTGCTGAACCTTCTGTTTGTGAACCATACATAAAAGAGGAACAAACGGAGGAATAGTCACTGTAACATGCAACTAAAATAAGATTTGGTTGTAGCCCCGAGGCAGCAGCGCTGCTCGAGTCGTTGCCAAGATTTCCTATGTAAAGCTGTAATTTCTGATGTGATCCTCCTTGAATATTCTTTCTGATTGCTGTCAATCGCTTTACATTCAAGGTACAGCGGCCTTTCAGGATATAGCTTTATGTGGCTAACAAAAGAAAATATTAATAATTTTGCCTTCCTTGTATTGGAAATATAAAGAAAAAGGCGGGAGGAGGGACTGCAGCCCCCACCTGCCGCTTTGCAACCAATTCTTTGCAAACAAGACCGTATCCTGCAGGATGAAAATTCCCCATTCAGGCTGTCTTCAGGGCTCCTGCACACCCAAGCCTGGTTCTGCTCCTGCTGTGGAGCCTTGACTTGGTGCCCTTGGTGGTGCCACGGCCACTGGAGGGGCTGGTGGCCCCTGGCACCTCTGCAAGCCCCACGGCAGTGTCACCACGCCGCGTAAGCTGAGCTGCAGGGACATCCACCCTGTAGCATATATGTGTTTTCTGTATGTTTTTCCTGCCAGGGAAGCTTGCAGTACACTTTATATTTATGTCTGTAAGGTGGATGGATAGATGAGCGACTTGCAAAGTTGGCTGCTGTGTTTTTTGGGCCACTGAAGTCCTTGTTTTCTCAGGATGGAGAGGCCGTCCCCAGCGCTCCCAGCACGTGTCCCAGGGCTGAATGTCACACTGTAGTAAAGGAGACCACGCTACAAGACTCACTTGGAGTCAGAATATCAGCATCTTAATTTACAGAGGTCTGAAATGAGTATGTCACACGGCATGTGATATTTGTAGCTACTAATCTATTAGAAATAGTAGTAGTAGTAGTAGTAGTAGTAGTAGTAATTTTTTCTCAAGTGCAAGTCTGCCATATGTGAAACGTAAATTGAAGAAACATTTGTAAAGATAAAAGATTATATGGCATATTGTCCTCCTTTTACCTAGCCTTGAGGAATCTGTCTTCAGCTTGTGTTGAATAGCTTGCTTCATGAAAAGATGCTTGAGAGAGGACAACTTTGTCCTGAGGATTTTGCTGCACACACTACCTGAGCAGTATACTTAGTCCAATTTAAAACTGAATACGGGATATCCCGTAACTCTATACTCCTTTATTTGCCCTGCAAATATAATCTGCACCGATACCTGGTCTGTACATAACTTTTTCAGCTAAACTATATGGCTTTTTTCATTCAAGCTGTAAAGATTTGTGTTTTGAGCTTCATCTATTTTCGTGCTTCCCTTTGGTAAATGATCGCCCGGGGAGCAGCACGGGCAGCTGGCTCCCTTTGCAGTCTGAAATTCTCCTGCAGCCTCAAAATGCCTTCGCCCCCCGGGCCGACACTTCTAGCAGGAAAGCCAGTGTGCTGGAGCCCGCTTTGCATCACCAGAGCCTTCCTGCCCCATTGTTAACTATTTTATACTTCACTAAAAAATAATAATTAATTATTTTTAGTGAATTTAAACTTCTTTGTAAGTAAATGAAATACATTACTGCAGAGTTTAATGTGATGAACTAATTAACAGTGGTGTTATATAAGGTATCCCAGGCAGGCTGGGAATTTAAGCCGTAAGCTTTCAGGGTGCCGTTTCGGAAAAGGTCCTGGGCAAAGGTGTAGAGGGAAGTAAGGGGCCTCCTCGAATTTGCTTGGCCTCACAATCTTAGTCACTAGTGATGCTTTTAACACTGGCAAATAGGTTGCAAATGAAAATAGCTGATTACGGTGCGACTGACCGGAGCAGAGCGCAGCGGGGCGCTGCAGGGGCAGTGCTGGCCCCGCGAGCAGAAGGGGCTCCCCGCCTCACCCCCAGCGTCCTCACACTTCACACACCCTGCAGAGCTGAACGGCTTATTTGCGAACACACAAGAGGCTCCTTATTAATGTGACATTGTCGTTCCCTATTATCAATAGGGAAGTGATGCCGTTAGCTTGTGTTAACACCCACATTCAGCCTCTCAGGAGCTGGAGTCAGCAGCAAAAGGGAGTGGAAGACTGAACATGGATGGGAGGTGACGTCTATGTAGTGTCACTGGAGGGAAGCATTCCATTCACATAAAGCATAGTTCTTTGGAGATGGGCACTATTATTTCTTTAGTTTGTGCATGCATAGAAAGCTTTATTTTGGTTGTAACATAGATTTGTTAAACAGAGACTGAAGCTGAGATAATTACTTAAATGGAGTTCAAAGCTGCTGTTATCATTACCAAAGGGTAATGATAAGGGTAACATGGATACTTCCTTTCCCACTGCAGATTCTTTCCATCAACATGGTCTGTCTCCTAGATACTGCTGCCTTGCTTTAGGTGGTCTCAATGAGTAATAGTGTGGGAGGAGCAGGGCATTGCCAGAAGCACGAACCCCCCCTGTCTGTTACCCAGGACATCCTTGAGAGGGTCCCTTAGCTCTCTGATCTGCACTTTGCTTCACCTGACAGCGTTTCCTTTTTTAGTTCCTTAATAGAATTGTTCAGAGCAACTTTATCGTTACCTTTTGCAGGTTTCAGCATTTTCTACATGGGAAAAAGAGTTGCACAAAATCGTATTTGATCCACGCTACCTTCTACTAAATTCTGAAGAACGTAAGCAGGTGAGTGTTATTTGTACTGGAGCTTCTGATTGCCCACAGTCTTCTCCTAAATTAACAGTAATAACAATGCAATTAGCTTGGTAGGATAAAGAGTAGAACAGAATTGAAGTGTCTTTCCTAAATTTGTCCACGATACTCAATTGAGGTTCCATTCATCAGAAAATGCTGCCTCCTCCTTTGAAAAACAAAGTGGAACAAGCAGTTTGCACACAGCCAAGAGCGAGAGTCTCCTGGGCTGGAGGAACAAGTCCCACCGAGTCTAGGAGTCTCAGCTGTAGAAAGGGTAATGACCATAAGGTAATGCTTCCACCGTGATTTATATTACATATTGTGGAGGGACTGCTTCATTTTTATTACTTAGAGTGTTTTCCAGGAGTTGCCAGTATTTATTGCTATACTTTGCAATAACTAAACTTGGTGGATATAAATGGACAGAGTGCTGGCTCTGCCTGTGTCTGTCTGAAGGGTGTTATTTGTTCTGTTTCTGGCAAGGCGCGAGGGGAGCAGTGGTTCTGTTGGGCATTAGTTACTGCTGGGGACCTGGAAGAACTGCAAGGTCGCAGATTAATCTCAAAATTTAGGAGAGATGCTGGGATGTTGCAGAGAAGGTGAACTCTTTTATTCTGCAGTTATTTCTGTCCCTCACTGGCCTCTTGTCATCCTGGAGAAGGAAGAATTTGGAAGATGGTTTTTAAATAAGCAAAGTGAAAAATGAACTGCTTATTTCTATGCCATTGCACTGCGGCTCTGTTGTCTTATTGATTCCCCAGGGAGCTTCCTGCAGGTATTTATTAAGGGATTGGGGACATACACTTTCATTTTTTACCTTTCTGGCTTTTTTCTAAGATAAGAAATAAAGTAAAATAGTAATGAAATACAGGAATGAAAATGTGAGACAAACTGGTAGAATGGAAAAGACTGATAAACAGTGTAAGAACAAGAATTTTGTGCTTTATTTCAGTGAATCAGGAATGACAAAATATACCTTGACCTTGACCAGTCAATCAGTATTTACTACTACTTTTGTTTTATCAACTGTAGAGATGATAGAATAAAATTATGTAATGAATGTACATAATGTAACATGTACTTTCACAAAACCTTGTTGACATGGACCTCATTTGTGGGGCATATTCAAGGCTTAAAGAAAACAAGCATTGGCAGTCCTGCGTACAGAAACACGTGCTCATGTTGACGTTGTTTCTAAGCGTGGCGATAATTCAGGCTCAGAACTGAGGTAGAAGAGAGTGATCATTAACTGCTGCTCTACAAAATAGGATTAAAAATATTAAATAGGGAACATATGCTATGTAATATATGTTAACAACTAAATTTTAAGTAATGGATTTAAGGACACTCACACTAAGCAGTTGCATTTAATTAGACCCCATTTTATTCCAAGAGTAGTTTAAAAAGAAAGTTGGGCTTGGCCACCTGATCACCAATTTAATGGATGTGTCTATTTAGATACAACTAAAATTAGTACAAAAATGTATTTAGCGTCCCTTAGGAAGCATTTACCTTGACTGATGCTCAGTGTGTGGCCCCAGTAGTGAATCTCTTTGAGTGATGTGAATGAATCAACATTTGAGGGATTTGGAGTGAACTCTTGAGGGAGGACGTGAATGGCTAACGGTACGTGGTTCTGAAAAGGCAGGGTAGGCCTTTCCCATGCCTTTGATCTGCAGGTGTCGCGGGGAGTTTTCTCTAGTCTCGAGCTTCTGTTGGGGCTGGTTTGGAGCGTGGAGGTGCCCGTGGGCATCCTCGTGCTGCCCGGGGAGTGGCTCGGGCTGGATGTGCGCACATCGGTTCCCCTGCCCTTCGCTATTTCCTGAAGGGTTGTTAGCTGGGAGAAGATCCTACAGTGTTTAAGTCAAGGAACAGTGAAGGGTAAAGGAGCAACTGTGCTGGATAATGAGCTATCTGTTAATTTTGATTTATGATGTTCATTAGGATAGATTCAGTGCTACCAGAAAGGCATGCAGTAACAGCATCGCCTCCATTATTTCTTCCATTTTTTCCAGAATGCTCTTACAGTCACCTTAAACACATTTCGTATAATAAATTTAGTTTCCCTAGGTCTCCACAGTACTTCTTTTATAGCGTTTCCTTGTTTGATGTTTGCCTTTCCAGTGCTGTTTCAGCCTTTCTCTGCATACCAAGCTCAGTATCAGTTTTATTCCAGTTATTTTGGCTTTCATGAGTTGTAGGCTTGCACTTGGGTATCCTCATGAGTGAAGAGAAAGTAACCGTGGTAGTAGCCGTACTTGATGTGCATCCTTTTGGTTGTTAAAAGGAGAGGCTGGTGCATATGGAAAGTGAAGAGCATTGTAAGGAACAGCTCCTTTGATTTAGCAGGTTCCTGTGCTTTGCTTTGCGGAGCACAGAGCTGACAGGGCCAGATGTGTGGTATTTAAAGATGTGATTAAAGCAGCCAGCAGGACTTCCAGACAGAGCTAGAAGTCCTTAACTCCTGCAGATGGAACCGAAAATCCCGATGCTGAGCACCCTAGTGCGTATTTAGCTGGCAAATCCCATAGGAAGCAGCAGGGTCCACCCTCCCAAACACATGAGCCCTGCTGTGGAGGTTTGTGCAGAGCCTCGTGTGGAAGCAACTGAACCGAAACACCTTTGGGCTTTCTTGGGGCAGCTTGCAGGATATTGGTGCTCGGCATTGTGGATGGACTCAGGAATTTGGGAAAGGGACTAGATCCGAACCAATCGGCCATACGGATGCAAGGTAGAAGCAGTAATTCTGTAAGCATTAAGGTGTGAGCAAGACCAAGTCGTCTACAATTGATTTATGTTATACTTGATCAGTAAATGAGGATATTATCTCTCCAAAGTAGAGCTTTTTCCAGATTTTACTTTATTAAAACAAATGATCAGGCCTCTGTGAAGCAGATTCAGCCACATTTGCTTCAGGAAATACTGAGTGTGGATAAGAATTGTAGTTCTTGAGATTAAAACCCGTCTGATCAGGTATAAATACCGTAAAATTATTATGAGTAAATAATAGTTCTTGTTTCTTGTTTCCCTTTTGTGAATAGATATTTGAACAGTTTGTCAAGGCCAGGATAAGAGAAGAGTACAAAGAGAAAAAAAATAAACTATTGCTAGCCAAAGAAGAATTTAAAAAGCTTCTTGAGGAATCCAAGCTAACGCCAAGGTATGGCATTGACCTGCGGAGATTTGTTAGAATGGATTTTCCCAAATTAGGCTATGATTGTCCATCCTGGGACTCTGTAACAGTGACCCTGTTCTCTGTGTCAGCTTACTGTATACATCTGTTCTTATAATGCTATCTTGACTGTTTCTTCCTAATATTTTATAATTATTTTGTTGTAATATGGGGAAAGGGAATATGCCTTCTCTCTGCCTCTTTTTCCAGTTTAGTGTGTGTGACATTTTGCATAACATATTTTATAATATTTTAATACACATGCATATATTATATAAAATTAGTACGTGAATGCTAATTTGCATTAATATTAGGCATATATGTAGCAGTAGTGAAAAACACTTTTTTGGGGGTTGGTTTTCATGGAAGAAAAACATAATTTAACAAAGGTATTATTAACGCGTCAGTAAATTTAAAATAACACCTGCAATGCAGTCATTTGTTTTTCTACATTGGTTTTCAAGTAATAGACCCCGAATTGTATCATAGGAAATGCAGTGGCTTCGGATAACACTTTCATTTGGAAATTATGTGAAAAATAAGGAGCTTATGTATTATCATTCTCATTGCATTGTTGGAACAAACAAATTACAGCTTCCTCTTACTAAAACATGCAGAGAATTGCGTAGCATTGCCTGCCTAGATGCAGCAATATCCCCAGCACATCAGACGGTCTGGAAATAATTGCATGTAGTTTGCACCGAGAATAATCGGGGTTTATGCAACAGCCAAGCAGTGGCCCCAGCAGTTTTGTTGTCAGTGTGCAAGGGCAAACCCCGCCGGCCTGCAGCAGCAGAGAGCATCTGCCACCCTGAGGCTTGTCCCGGGCGCGCTGCGGGAGACAGAAGTGCGGGAGCCTCCGTTGCCTTCGGAAATCGCTGCCTTGGCCTGAATTCTGCAGCCAGAATCCAGTTAGCCGTGGGCAGCCCTTCGCGCGGGTGCGCGTTGCGAGCGGGCGCGCTCATCGGAGCACGGCGGCCGCGGAGCCCGGCGACACCTCGGGCGCCCGGCCGGACCGAGCTGGGCGCCGGCGTGACGAGAGCGGCGTGGGTCACCCCAGCCCCGCCACCGTGGGCACGAGCGGCACCGGGGGCGTCTCCAGGGCTCCGGCTCCTGGCTGCAGGGACACAGGCAACGCAGGACAGAGATTAGTGGGTGTTGTTAAGATAGGCTCAGAATCCTAACGTGAAGGATGGTGGTGGTGATGACGTTTCTGCCTACATTAACTGAGCTCCACGACAGTTTTATAGAACCATCCAGCCATTGGTTAATCAAGAAAAACTCTGGATCTTTTCATAATTACTTTGATAAAGCTTAGTCCATTTTCTGCTGATAATAGTTCTTGCTAGTCATTCATTACTTATTATATACACATTATATTTAACTGCTAGCGATCATCCCCTTTCCCACTTGCATCGTCTCCTCTACTGCAAGGAGCAGCCGGTAGGATCATGGAAACGTGAAGGTTGGATGGATCAGGTCCAGGAGGTCGTCCGCTCCAGCCTGCCGCTGGAGCAGGGTCACAGCAGCCTTCTTGGGGCTGTCAGGCCTTCAAAACCCCAAGGAGATGTTCTAGCACGTCGGGGCAGCGTGCCCACCCGCCCTCATCCCATCGGAGCCTGCTCCTGCCCTCACCGAGGTCTCCGGCCTGGCCTCTGTCCTGCTGCCCCGGCCTCGCCGGGCTCCGCAGCGCCGGGAGCAGCGCCCCGTGTCCCGGCCAGCCCCGCTGCCGTGGACCATGCGGCGCCCGCCAGCACGGCAGCGTCCGCCGCCTTCCTCCGCTCCCTCCAACCTCTTCCCCTTTCCGTAGGAATGGGATTGGATCCACCACTAGAAAAACGTGCAGCTAAGTGAGAGAAGTCCAGGAGTCCAAAGGAGAGTGATTTGTTGCTGGTCTGTGACCGAGTTAGGGCAGCACGTGGCCGTGCCTGGCCGTTCTGCCACCAGGGCCGGGGCAGCGCAGCCCTCCGTGCGCGAGCCAGCCCGGAGAGCCCGCGGCATCCCGCAAAGCCGCAGGGAAGGATCCCGCAAAGCCGCAGGGAAGGATCCCGCAAAGCCGCAGGGAAGGCTCCGGGCTGCCTCGCAACACTCCCGGGGCCTCGCGTTGCTCATCGTGCCTCCAACTGCCGTGTTGGCACTTAGTTTGCTGCTTCTTTTGGGAAAGATCAAGCGACTTTAGTATTTCTTCAGGTATCATAAGCTACAGATAGTCAAATTGCGTTTGTTTTAATTAGTTGCTCAGCTGCGTTTTTCTACTCCATTAGAGGCTAATCATTGCAATACCAGGCATAAGCCACCGACGAGGATAGATGGAGACAGCGGAAACCTGCACTGGAGCAAATAGTGTCTTAATTAACCTAAATTGCCCAGTAAGTGATCACACAGATTTCTCACAATCAGAAATGAAAGTAGCTGTTGCAAGCACGTCAGGTGCATGGGAAGCACAAGGAATTTCAGCACGGGTCTTGCTTGCTTTGTCACGGGCATTACAGGAATGTGGGTGTAAATATTTCCCAGGACATGTTCTTGTTTTTAATATCTGTATCAGTTAAATGTGGCACCCAGGTCAAGGAGTCTGAAATGCACTGACAAAGTTGCAACTTTAAAATGTCTTTCTTTTCTGCAGAACAACATTTAAAGAGTTTGCAGAGAAATATGGAAGAGATCAGCGGTTTCGACTTGTCCAAAAGAAGAAGGACCAAGAGCATTTTTTCAATCAGTTCATGCTTATTCTTAAAAAGAGGGACAAAGAAAACAGGATAAGGCTACGGAAAATGAGATAAGAATTGCTGAAATTGGCAATAAATACACAAGCTAGCGCTGTGACTGCAGTGGAAATTAAACTAAAGAAAAGAGCGTTTGGGGTTAGAGTTGCCACGGCTCAAAGGAGAAGCGGATATCCCTGAGGAAAGCTCTCAGTGAACATCGGAGCTGGAGCTTGGGTTTGGGAAGCCACGTTGTTCTGCAGGAATCTGAAGGATATTTTGTTCTCAAAGAATTAATGTTTCATATTGAAGCTCTCTTTTTGTACAACATTCAGAGTTTGATGCATTTCTAATTGCCATGATATGTCAATCCCTTAATTGTTTTAATTATGCAAATTACTTGTAATATACACAAATTATAAATCCAGTGCAGATTTGTAATTAAGCAGAGACAGATGCCGTCCATAACAATCTCAAGATATTTCCATCATTTAGGGGAATTATCTGAAGCAATCTTATGGCAACTTTATGCGTTAACATGAATTGTTTAGGAGTGCTGTGGTATGCGGGGTTCATTCCTCAGTGTTCACATGTCCGTGTCCAGTTTTTGGAGTAATAGTAATAAGATAGTAACTGTTAATCATAGTGAAGAGTGTGGAAACTTTGGCATATGTTCCATAGCAAACCCATAAATTTCAGAAATAGCTTTCTAATTACTGTGAATGGTGCTTCCAGGCACACAGATAATAGCAACACGTCTCCGTAAGAGTTACTATAAAAAAAGTTATTTTGTAAAGCCATCATAGTGCGATCTGAATTATGTTCTTGTATGTGAAGAGTCTGCATGAGATTTTTTTCTTAGCATCTTTGTACAGATAAATATTTAACTTTTTTAATTAATAAATATTTTAAGCCAAATTTCAGGAGTTCTTTAAGTTTCTAAGCTCTGGGAAATACGGCGTAGAAGAACGTGATTCTCCGGTGTGTTCTCGAGAGGCAGTGGCACCGCGGAGAACCCAGACGTTCCTGCTGCCCTCGCTCGCAGGCAAGTTCCCATGAAGTGCCATTGGAGCCAGGAGCATTGGGAGAGCCACGCAGCCCCTGTGGCTGTGAAGATAATGGAACGCAGGTGGAGGACATCAGCAGAGCTCCTCTGAATTTCCACATGCTCCTCTTTGTGCTCCAGGGAAGGCACGCTGTCCTCGTTCTCCGGTCTGTGATCATCACCATTTTCTCAGCTACAACTCAGTAGAGTAGTAGGTCTCTGCTTGGCAGGAGCAATTTTGATGTTTTTCCAACTAATTGTGTCTTTTTCTGTAGATGTCAGCTGCTTATGTTTTTATCAAGTGTGTTTTCTAGTGATTTGGAAAAGTGAACTCAAAATAATTCAACCAAGAGCCCTTGATGTGAGAAGTGTTTTAGGATGTATGTAGAGGTCCAAAGCTTGCTCCCAACTTTGATACCTGTTCACATTTTGCCACTCTTCTTCAGTTTGCTTGGATTTTTTTTCCCTGTGTCCATTTTTCTAGTTTCTTCCATGCTGATTTCAGCCACACTTCTGCTAAGCCTCACGTGCTGGAGAAAGAGGTGACCTGCAGCAGGTACGCTCCTCTTTGTGCAACCATTCATTTCTGTAAGAGCAAGAGCAGCCCCTAGGTTTATAGAGGTGCAAGTGGGAGATGTGTTGCAGCATTAGAGCTGTCGGATGAAGCAGATTCTGTGGGGGTTTGCTCTCATCTCAGAAAGACGTGCGGTTTGGGTGGTTCGTGGCAGAGGCAGCCGAGCGCAGGCTGGCGGATGCAGTAGGTTGGCTCTGCTGCACAGAGGGTGGAGGCCGAGGCTGTCCCGAGGCAGAGGTCGGGCTCCTTCCGCACCTCCTGGCCAGGGGTTTCTATTACAGCGTTGGAAGGAGCCCGCCTGGAGTGTCCCGCTTGGATTGTCCGGCAGGGACAAGTGCAGGTCACCAGGAGGCAGGTGCAGTGGGACAGCAGGGACCTCTCACACGCTTGCCAAAAGGTGAACTTCATGGGACAATTGTAAAAATAAAAAATATATACATAAATATATATGTACATATATAAATATATGTATCAGAAACTGTGGAAATTGCACAGAGCAATATGTCTCTTCTAAGGAGGCTGTAACTCAAAACTAGGATGCAAAGCAGCACCAACCTTGGACTCCTTACGTATTCGTTTCATGTGCTGATAAAACACTAATAACGGCCTAATTTGAATAATGTGATTCTGGAAGTAATTTGTCTGTTTAAGTTCTTAGTAGAGTTGGATTCAGCTGAAACTGAGATAAGGAGAAAGGAATAAAAAGGGAAATTATGTGATGTTTTTGCTTTAGGGAAAACGACAAACAGAGGAGAATGCGTGGCTAATAAATTCTGGCAAAGACTAAATTCTGGGCGAGGTGCAGGTTCCCCGAGGCCGTTGCTGGCAGCTCGTGGGTTGTTCCCTTGCTGCTTTTGGGCCTCCGCAGCAGCCGCTCGGCACTTGGGGCAGCCCTTCGGTGGCTCTGTGCTAGTTAGCACAGTTGGTTTTACCCTGCCCAGGTTGCTGGTCCTTGTTTCACCTCTATTCTTCCCGTTTTGGTTCCGAAGGGAAGTCGCAGCAATGGAAGCAAAGGGCGACGTTGCTCCCCGGGGCCGCACTCACCGTTTCCCAGACTCGCAGCGAGACGCTCTGGGTTTAACTCCATTTATCCTTCCAGCCACCGATGGTGTATCTGTATACTGCATGTCCGCGGCGCCGGCCATAGCATCTCGAGCTGCTGCCACTGCGCCTGCTTTCCACAGGCAGCGCTTGGCGGGTTGGCATGGGAGCAGTGACCACGTGAGCGCTTCAGTGTGCCTTAATGTGGGTTTTTACAACATGCCTGCAGAGTAAAATGTATTGCCGTTGAGGGAGGCAGGTGGGTGGGTTTTCAACGGTCTGTGTTGGGAGCTGGTTCTGGGAGTCCAGCCTGCCGGCGCCGCAGCCTCCCGCGCGCCTGTGGAGCACGGAGCTGCCATCCGTGTTTCTAAGCACCCAAATAGCAGGAGTTCAAACACACAGGGAGCCCCTCGGCACCTTCCTGCTGGGCCAGCAGAGCCAGGTCACCTCCTGGGCCACCACCGCCTCGCGACGTCGGGAAATAGCGAGGAGCGCTGGGCAACTTGGGGAGATTTTGTCCTCACAACATTTAATTCATTATTTTTTGCTTTCTTTTTTTTTTTTTTAATTTTTTTAATAAGTGGCCTGGGGAGGAATTCTGGCCTTAATTAAAATATGCTATTTGTAGACTGCCATTTGCTTTCCTCATTTCCTGTTTCCTAGTGGGAATACGTGTTTGAGTTAAATGAATCTCCTGCCCAGCCCTAAGGAGCAGTGCGGGCTCCTGGCCACAAACAAGCTCCAAGGCCGGGTCATTCTGCAGCTAAATGTGGCCAAAAAAAAAAAAAAAGATACCTGCTTTCTGTGTCCCAAAACCACGGAGTCTGTGAGTATTTGATGGAATTGCAGCATCCAGGGATGCACCTTGCAGAGCCTTAAGCAGCTGCGGTTCTTTGAGCCCTGTCGGGTGCAGGTTGGGCGAGCGCTGAGCAGCGCCAGGGCTCAGCAGGGCAGCGCCGGTGCCGCCTGGCCCGGCCCGACCCCCTTTCCCGCAGGGTCCGGGCGGCACTTGCAGACTGCGGGTACTGCTGTGGTCAGTGCTGATCTGCACAAATACGGGCTGAGTAAAACTACTCAGTCTTTCAGATCGCTGCCGTCTCCTTGTAGCGCTAAGTTCTCTGCGGCTGCTGCAAACAAAAACAGGTGCTAGAGCGGTGGGCTTTTAAATCACTGCACCCAGATCTCTCTCGGCCGCCCTTGCTTTTGAAGGAAGCCCATTAGCTTGTTTTAAAATTGCAGTGTTTGCTTTAGGCAATTAAAAATGCCTTCTATTCTGCATATTTAATTTTCTCCAAGTTGCAAACCCAGTGTGGCATTAAGAGCCTGAGCACTCTGCTCAATAGCTCCGTGTCCTCCACTGCAGAGACCAAATTGGCAACTGCAACCTTTCCTGTAACTCTTGTCATAATTCCCCGCGTCTGAAGGGAACAAAAGATGCAGAATACCCAAAATAAAGTAGAAAAGATGGTCTGTTTACGTCTCAGTGCCACTCCTTCGTCCCAGCTCCAGCGCTATCAAGCATGAGGTTGGGTTATTTGCAGGGAGCAGAGCCAATCCCCAACCAGCTCCAGTGTCCAATAAACCCTCCTGATCCCAGTGAAAAACAGGGGAAAGCGCTGGGCGAGGGGAGGTGCCGCCGCGGAGCTGGCGGTTCAGGGCCCCCAGTAATTCAGATCCTGGTGACATTAATGACAGAAGCAGATGGTTTTGCACATGTTTTTATTTCTATTTCTATAAACAGACATTTATTTTGATTGCTATGCTAAATATATGTGCTTTATTAAATGATTTTGGCTGTTGCTATGAATAACAGTAATTACCATATCCATGTGCTGGGTTTATAGCTAGTCTGACACCCTCTTTACCGCAAATGAATAGATATTAGGTACATGATATATGAATAGGGTGACATCAGTCTGAAGTTAAAAGTATTTATTTATATATGTATTGACAGGCCTTTGGCTGATGCTCCCTGTTTTTCTTACCTTTCCTGGCTGGAATACTGAGTGAAGCTGCTCGGTGTCCCCTTCCAGGGGCTCTCCAACATGAAATATGCAGCAGCTCCGGTTCTTCCTTGCCCTTCTTACATGGTGCTTTTAGTAAGACAGTATCTGGTGATATTTTCCCCCAGCATTACCAAGGGATCCCAGGGCAGATGCAGGGAAATCTTTCATTTTTTGCAGAAGAAGTAGCTGTGTGTTCGCAGCTTAGCTCGGCTGATCTGGGGAGTCTTCTCCCTGTGTCTGGCCACAAATTCCTACTGGGTGCTTTTTGCCTGGGGGTGTGCTGGTTGCTCAGGCCTGCACCGCGGATAGATGAGGCGCCGGGAGGAGGACCCCGCGTGCGTGCAGGGACCTGCAGGAGCGAGGGAGCCCTGACCACGAGGTGACCGGGGCGGTCAGGGCAGGCCAGGACACACACGGGAGCTGGGGCAGGAACGTGCCCGTACCCCGGTTTATAGACTCCAGCTTAGGAGGCACTGAGGAAGACGGTGCTGTGGCGGCGGCGCCGGGGGAGCCGCGGCGGGGCGCGCAGCAGAGGGGCAGCAGAACGTGCACAGTGCGCCCCGGTCCCCGGCGCGCAGCCCCGGCCTCAGCGCGGGCGCCTGTTTGTCCCTGTGTGCAGCTGCGGCCACGCATTCCCTTTGCAGTGCGCTTGGAAAGCTGTGTGTTCACGTGCTTGGAAATCAGCGTGTTCGGCCGCCTCCATAGCATTGGCAAGCCGCTGTCGTGCTCTTCCCCGTGCCCGTTCACGCGGCCGTGTTCTCCCCGGCAAAACGCACTGCTTCCAGGGCCTCCCGCTAGTGTGCTTTTGGGGGCAGATAAGCACCAGATATACCCTGCCTATACCCTGCAGCTCCGGATCGTGCTCTGCAGCCCCAGTGCTCTCCCTCGGAGAGCTCGGGTGTTTCTGCAATGCCGCCAAGCCCAATGCTGCCCGGGACGCCGCTTTGAAACCCGGTTTTGCTCTTTCTGTGTTGTTGCAACTTCACTGGCTTCCACTGAACTATGCTGGATACCAATCAGAGACAAATATCTCTTTATTTAAGCAAAAAGCTCGGGTTTACTATTTTTTAAAATTACCCAGGACTCTTATTTTAAAGGCACTGAGGGAGGCTTTGTGCTCAGAGATGTTTTCTTTTTTTCCTGTGCTCCACTTGTACGTTTGGAGGTTATTGGAGAATTGGATTTTTCTCAGGATTGACAAAAATCCAGATAAAATATCATC